TTATTAATTTCATAATATTAATTTATATAACATAAGAAATATTTAATAATTTTTTATAGTCAATTTTTTTTTTGAATTTTATAATTAATTTTAAATTCAAAATTTATATATAAAAAAAGTCAATAAATTATAAGATCTTTTTAAAAAACTTTAAAATCAATATTTTATAATAAAATTATTAATTAATTAATAAAAAAACTTTATTATTATTATTATAATGGCCTAAAGTAGATTACTGAAAATTTACTATATAATACTAATTAATTAAATTTATATGTGTTTTTTTATTTTATTTATGTTTTATATAATATAATTATACATTTATGTAAATAAAATACTTTTATTCTAAAAAAAATATATGTGGATATTTTGAATATTCTAAATATCATTCTTTAATTTTATGTACTGCTTTGATCCGATATGAAATATTATATATAAGCGATTGAAGATATTTAATTGATATCTTATTTCATTTCTTTTTTAATATTTTAACCAATTCTTGTTTTGTAAGTATTAATTTTTTATTACAAATTGCTGAATTAAGATGTTCACAAAGATCTTTGATTAAGTTTAAATCAAAACTATTTGGTATCCAATCTAAAATATTGAAATTATGAGTTTTCATTTATTATCTGATATATAAATAGAAGCTACATCTTGCTGAAATATTAATTGTATTTTATCAAAATATTTCTTTAATAAAGAATTTGTTCAAGAAATAAAATATTTAGTAAAAATATTAATACAACTATTTGAATTTATATTATCTTTTAATTCTATTAATAATTTAACTTCTCATCAAGAAAAACAACTCTAGAATATTATAGAACCACTGTCAAATTTTATAGTTGTATTTATATAATTTTTATAGTATTTTTTATTAACTCAATGCCAAATTCTAGTGTAATCATCCAATTTATAAAGACAAAATCTTAATTCGTTTGTGAAAATTATTATCTGCCATTTGTTTATTTACTTTAAATATTTGCAATACTATTTTTTTTGATCTTGAGTTTTTTTTTTATCCAAAAAAGGTTTTTTGCATATGATACAATTTTTTCAATCTAGGTTATAAAGATATTTTTAAATTGTTTTAATTGTAAGAGTTTTTTCAAAATAAAAATTAAATTCTTTTATAATAACAGTTAAAGGTACTTTCTGATTCTTGTTAACAATATAAATTAAAGAATGTTTGTTATATATAGAAAGAACTTTTTGAGAATTAAAACATTTTTGAAAATATTTTGAGTTTGTCTTTTTATATTAATTAATAGTATCATATACTATTGATTTTGGTAAATTAAAAGTTTAAATGATATTAAGTGATTTAATATCATATACAGTAAATAGGCATTCACAATATGACTTCATTGTTCTTGACTGAGTTCTTTATATATGTTTTTTTTTTTGTCATAAAAAATAACAATAATTATTTAAACATAAACTATAAATTTGAATTATAAGGAAAAATACATAAAAAAAAATTGTAATATATATATTTTAATATGAAATTTCCGATAATCCACTTCCAGCCACTATATTAGAATCACAAAATTATTTTATTAAAGTTTTATTTAAATTAAATAAATATTTATTGAATTATAATAAGAAATATTAGTTCAAAGACTTTTGTACTATACTGTATATTACCAGTTTAATTATTGTTATTATTATTGATTTTAAATAATATTTTAATTAATGAATTAATAAAAATTTAAATAATCAATTAAATACAAATAACAAATAATGTTATATTTTGTTATAAGCTTGTTTTATTATTTTTATTTATTATTTTTAAAAATTGGAATTTGAATATACAATTAAAATAACATTTACAATAAAATGTTACACCTAAATTCAATATCAAAGAAAATGTCCGAAGTGTTATACTACGTCACGTATTATTAAAATTATATAATTTAAATTATTATTATTATTTCACTGGTCAAATACAGTATGTAGGCATGTCATATTTTTATAATAAGAGTGTAAATTAAAAATTGATTTTATTTGTAGAGAAAAAAAAAAACAAATATATGCTATTTACAAAAATTTGAACGATTTTAAGCACATGAACTTCAAGTCCTGTGAAATAATTATAAAAGTGAAATGCATGACAAAATGATAATTGATGCTTCATGAAAAGGCTGCCAATAAAATACAATGACGCTAAATAAATTTGAGTGTAGGTATTAAATCTAATAATTATATACCCAAATATTCCATTTTTTTCATGTTCCAAAATTAGTTGTCATATGAACTGATCTTTCGAGTTACGATGTAATAATGATCAAACCCACAAAAGAAACGATCAAAGATAGGATTATGGAAAAGATTGCCAAGTACACTTGCACAGTAATTAAAATATTATCTTTCCAATACCTGTTAGTTCAAAGAAATTCAATTAATTAATACGACAGAGACAAACAAATAATAGTTGATTAAATAATAGGAAACCTACACGTGATTTCGTTTCTTGTTTTTTTTTGTGCCCATTATTTTCCCATCTTCATCATTCTTATGCTTCTTAACCTTTTGGTTAATCTCCTCAAATCTTTTCATCATATATTCCGCCTTTGAAATATATCCGAACTTCACCAAATCTGCCATATCTTCTACTTCCGATTCATCAATCAAAAGCTGCGGTGTACAACGAACCTTTCTCTTATGGACATCAAATCGTTGTTCACAGGAATCATCAGTCTCTGCGTCCTCTTTTCTAAGAAAAGTGGCGAGATAATTTTTACCCTTTTTGTTAGCATTTACATTCCTGTCGTTAATCCCTCTTTCCTTTGAGCTATTCAAATACTTTTTGGTTCTTTCTTTCTCCTTCACCAAATCATCTTTTATTTTGGAAATTCCTTCCTTCCTTTTTAATACTTCGTCTTTAACTTTTAATAATTCGTCTTTCTCTTTAATCAACATTGATTTCTCTTTTAATAATTCGTCTTTCTCTTTACTCATCATATTATGTTTTTTATCCAATTTTCGTTGACTGTTTTGTGTTGACTTTCTTTTAACTTTTTCATCCCTGTGATTGTTGACCTCTTTCGTTTCACCTTCCCTCTTCTCGTTTTCTTTTTCCCATGCATTATTTTCTATATCTCTTTCCCTTACTTCTTTTCTTGTCGTTGAATTTTCAGATAGCAATTCCTCATTCCCACTATCGTCAATTCCGGACGGCTCGTAAACGCGACGACAAAAACCTTTGTTAATTAACTGCTTGTTGCTCCCTTTATTCAACAATGCCACAAATTTCTTGAACTTTTTAATCTCCTCATCCCACTCTTTATTTTCCTGCCTTAGAGTTTTAAATGTCTTTTGGTCAACAGTTACGTTGGATTGATAAATGAAATGGGTGAAGAGGCTGGCAGAAGTAGATTTCATATTCTCGAGAAAGCTGGTGGAAGAATTACCATCGAGTGCAGCTGCGGTGAAATTTTGATTAAAATGTTTAATGTAAGCGAATAAATCCACCAGGGATTTTCGTTGAAGGTCATTTAATTGCGAGAATGTAGTCATTTTAAGAACGTATTTTATTTGAATCTCATTAAATATCTAAGAATAAATTTTACAAATTTTACAGCAGCAAATTAATGAAAATCCTAGACCCGAAAAAATTATTGAAGTCCAGAAAAACAAGGTTTGAAGAATATCGTTAAAAATTGTGGGGTGAAGCGAATTCAAAAAAAAGTCAGTATAATAATTTTCGAAATAAACGATGTACGAAGAAAAAAAAGCAACTTACATAATGCGTATAAATTGTCACATCTAAACAATGTACAGATGATCGCGCTAACTCACATGTATTACATACTCCAACCGAAAAGTGGAAAAAACTGGTGTAAGAACTTGATTGAATAATCTTTTTTTTTCTAAATCTTCGTACGCACGTACTCTAGATACGTATGTATGCATATACCCGTCTTTATCCTACGTTACTAGAAAAAGCTTGTAACTTGAAGAATGAAATTTATCCAACACAAAAAATCAAAAGAACAATATGCTATTGAGTGTATATTATTGTCTTGTAAGGTAAGCCGCGTGCCGCAGCATAGCAACAGGAATATTACGTAATGCAGGATTGAGGGCGTTTGTCGTTACGTTATCTGTCATTGTGGAGTTTGTACACCGTGGCTCATGAAATGTCACAATAAACTCGAAAAAAAAAAAAATTTTTTTCTCTTATCATAAGTCGCACATATTTTAACACGATATTCATTGCGTAATTATTTTTTTTTGTTGAGGCATTTCTCGTGATCTTATTAATAGAGTAATCGAGATGAAGTTACATGATTAATTTTTTACTATTTAATTTATATAAAGAATATTTTTTATAAATTAGAAAAACTGCAAATCCAAATTTTATACACTAATATAAAATTTAAATTTAAATTAACTATGTCAATTTGTAAAAATAATTAAATAAATTAATCAAATTTAATAAAAAATATATCATTTAATTTTTTTGAAAATTAATTTTCTAAAATAAAAAATACAATATATTAAAACAAAATATTAAAATTATTATTATTGATTTTTTTCATTAATATTTTTTTATTTATTAAGTTTTTTTTTTAAATAAACTTTTTATATTTTTATAAATAAACATAAAAAAATTTTATTTATAAAATCAAAGGCAAAGCATTTTATTAAAAAAAAGAATATATTGAAAAAATATTTTTTTCAAATAGGTTTAAAAAATATAAAAAAAATATTTATTTAATTTTTAAAAATTTATTTTGTTTTCTTAAAACTTTTTTTACTCTTTTTTAAACAATTAAACTTTTTTATAATTTTTTTAAAAGATTTTGTTTTTTTTATTTAATTTTAAAAATACAAACATATTTTATAAAACTATTTTGTATAATAAATATTATTATAAATATTATAAATATTTTTTATTAACAATAAAATAATAAGAATAAAATTATTTATTTAATAAAATAATATTAAAGAATTAGTTTTAATAAGTAAAATTAATTTAAAATTTATTAATATATATATATATATTTTAAAAAATAATTTTTATTTTTAAATTTATAAATTTATATTAATATAATATTTTTAAAAATAAATAATTTTTTTATTTCTTATAATTATATTTAAAAAATTAAAAAAATTGTAAAGTTTTATATAGTTATATTATATAATAATAATTTAATAAATTTATTTTTTTATAATAAAATTATTAAATTATTTAAAAATTATTATTTTACTTTAACTATTTTTTAAAATAATTTATTCATATTTTTAATATTATTAGATTAAAATTATTAAATTTAATTATATTTTATATTAAGTTTACAATTATTAAATATTAAAAAAAATTTTAAATTATCAAAATTTATTATAAAAAATCTTTAATAATAATAATTAATTTAATTAATATAAAAATAAATTTAAAAAAATTATTTTAATTAAAAAATAAAATTATTTTATTATATTTTATAAAATAAACTACTAATTATTTAAAAAAAAAAGATCTATTTAATATGAACATAAATATAATATATAAGTTAATAAAAAACCTGTAGATCTACAGTATAACACAGTAGTTAATGCTTTATAGATCAAATCACAAGATACTAGTTCAATTTTATATAAGAATGATTAAATAGAATTAATATAGTATCTGATATTATAATTTATAAAAAGTATTGTTTTTTATAAGAAGCTATTTTACATATTGATTTAACCAATGTTAAGATCATAATTTCCAAAAAAAATA